TGCAATATTATGATATTTCCAAGCTGATTGGAAGCTAAGACAAACATCTGTGTAGATTAGTTTACTTGTAACAATATGATTTAAAGCTTATAATTGAATGATAAAGGCATTCAGCGCTGAGTCAAATTCAGTTAAATATTTCTCTTCTTGCAAAGAACTGATTTCTGTGTTCTTTATTTTTTTAAATAGTTTTGCAGGGCTCTAGATTTATCTATGGGACAAGAGATAGAGTTGGATCTCAATGACAAGTCTTCAATGGGTCTCAGTCCCAAATACTATTCTTCCATCGCATCAATATGGTTCTTTAAAACAGAGAGGACTTGGCTGAGAATAATTTTGCTCGCTTCTGCAATTCTTTATGTAAGAGACTTCCTTGTAGATCTCATTTTGCAAGGGACGCGGCTCTCACAGTATCACGTCCCATGCCCACTGACAGAATTTGTACTGGACGCGGCACCAAGAGTGTCATGTCTTCAAACGTCTGTCAACCAGCCGCGTCGTTATGTACTATTTAGGCAATACATTTGACCTGGAAATTGTTCCGGTCATACATTTTAATAATCACATCACCAAGGTCAAAAGGCCTAACTTCTTAGGGGAGAATTTGACACTCATTTGAAAGTCATGTATCTTTTCTTTCACGAGGACTGTTGTATTTTTAGAAACGGTTTTGTTTTTTTCATTTTAAAGGACAAACTATAATTATATATTAAGGTAAATATATAGTTATAAATATTAAAATTATATTTTTATTTATTTTTTATGTAGAGAGAAAAAAATACAATTTTAAAATTATAATTATGTACTACTCTTAGTATATAATTATAATTTGCTAAAAGAATACAATTTATGTATTTTAAAAGAACAAACAATTATTTCAATTTTATGGGTTTAATTCTGATATGCTGCTAGCATAAAAAAAAATTATACTGTCATCTAATAAAATGATGACAGATTATTTAATAAACTTAACAACACGTAAATATGTGACAACATATTATCGATTCAACTTCCACACCCGCTTTTTGCATGCGTAAATTTAATAAGTATAATCAAATATGGTCAAATTATTCAACCTAGGGTTTAGCTCAACCAACTTCCCGTGTTTTGAACAGAATATATAAGTCTATAAATTTTTCATTTTAAAATTATTATAATTTAAGATTTTATATAGGAATTAATAAAGTTATTAAATATTTTGATTTTTAATAAGTATAATCAAATATGGTCAAACTATCATTTCACTTTATTATATACTTTTTACTTTGCTTAGAAAAATATTAAAAGATACAAATAAAATTAAAATATATATTATTATTTTATTAAATAAAAATTAATTTAAAATAAATTAAGATTCGTGAGTGATCGTTATTTTCATTTGTAGGGAGTAGTTGTTACTTGTATCCCACCTAATCCCACACCCGCTTTAATAAATAATAAATAAGAAATATGTATAAAAAATAATAATAAATAAGAAAAGTATTTTACATGACACAGGCGCACAACCAATAAACTCACAGGTTACAAATAATGAAAGGTACTCTCTGGTTTGACAAACAAAACGTTGATTGTTCAGGTTGCTGCTGGCAAATGGCTATATCGCCATACCTGAAATAAAAATTGAGAGACCAATAAATACTTAACCCACTAATACGTCGTAATTCAATAATTAACACCTCTTGTCTTTTACCATTAAAAAAAAGGTTTTATTAATTTCATGTTAAAAAAATAAGTTATGTCATGTCATAGAAATAGAAATAAATTTGTGAGTTTCACCACCTGAAAAAAGAATGAAAAAAAAAATGACACAATTATCGAAAGATGTGTAAAAAAGAAATTTATCATATGTAATATAAAAATAGTTTTTTCCTCGAAAAAAAATCTTAGCAGTCAAAGTAGCTAATCAAGACATTTTAAATAAAGAGCTGCATATGGCATTGGCAACAACGTTAATAGCAAATCAAATTTCTAGAGAGTCCTGACCAATGATTAAATAATATTCAAATTCAATTGCTGGCTAGTCATTTCTTGGGGTTAGCTAACACCGTTGAATATTGGATTCTCAAAGTAAAACAGTTATGGATATGATACAAAGCCCTATATTCTAGAAGCTGTAAAAGGAACAAATAGTCGCTAATAGATAAATAAGGAAATATTCTCAAAAAATATCAATCTTATTATACCTTTAGCGATTAAATATTCTACCTCAAAATATATATACCAAAGTCCAAAATTTTATTACAGTTTTATAAATAAAAGGTAAAGTTAACCGATATAACACTTAGTACTCTTTTTCATTAGTTATTATTCTACACACACCTCGTATCTTGACTTGTGTAAACTTATGTATAGTGATATATATCTGCGAGAGAGCATACATATCCCATATAAGCAGTAACGGATCTAGAAAATTAATAAAAGGTGAACACTCAATAAGTTCAAGTACATATAGATTTGGGTTTGGTCTGAAACGCGACTTGCGAGCAGCTACTGGCTGGCTGGGTCTGATTTAGCTCTAAATCTGGACGGATTGCGATTCAGCTAGACCGATGATGGAGGAAGAAACAAATGTTCCAACTTCCAATAGCAGAGATTGAGGTTTGAGAGAAGATAAATTAGTATGTAGATGCAAACAATGAGTCGGGAATAGAGCTCTCTGTTGTTAGGTTTGGATAATGAAGGTGGAAAAGAAAAAAACTCACAGGAAAATAAAATAGAATGAGAGAAATTAAAGGGGTAAGATATCGTAACAACCAACTAGGGTTACTACCAATCAATTTTACCGTTAGATCACTTATGTTGATCCAACGGTTATATTTATTTCTATCTTTGTATGGTTATGATCCCCATATTTAATGTAAAAACATTAAATATGAAAAATATGAAAAATCATAACCATACAAAGGTGAAAATAAATATAAAGTATTAAATATGGGGAATCATATCCATACAAAGATGAAAATAAATATAACCGTTGGATCAACATAATCGATTTAACAGTGAAATTGATTGGTAGTAACCCTAATTGGTTGTTACAATATCCTACCCCAAAATTAATTTGGAATAGCTTGAATTTAAGAGAAGGGTATTTTTGTATTTTTGCATCATATTTCAAGGGTGGGCACTTGCCCCCCTTCTCATGAACCTAGATCTGCCTCTGCATATAAGAGCTCGTTTGTTTCGCCTTCCAGAAAAAGTAGCTTTTATATCTTTCTTATTTTAGAAGTGTTTTTTATAAAAGTTAAAATTATTTATATTTTTATAAAAATATTTGGCTTTTGACTTCTGCTTTTTTTAAAAGTTAAAATTTTTAGCCTTTAAAAAAAAATTGACTTTTTTTGTGATTTATGCTTTTTTTAAATGTTCGCTTTTTCTGCAATTATTGCATATCGTTTTAAAAATAAATGCAGATAACTTATCTGCATTAACTGCAGAAACATTTTTCTCTTTTTAAAAGTGAACATCCAAATGAAAATGAGAAATACTTTTTTTTCTTGAATTTTTTTGAAGAAAGTCCATCCAAACTGGCAATAAATCAACCAATTCTTAGATTCAACATCTCCATCCACGTAAGGAAAAAATTTTGGTGCTACTGTTGCACCAAAGATTCAGTACATCCCATCAATAAAAATATTATATGTCAGTTAAAGTTTTTTTTCTCTGCCAAATTTTTTCTCTTTCTTCTGATGGGTAATGCTCCTATTAGTAGGATGCACTGAATTTAGGTACAACAGTAGTACCAAAGATTTATTTCCACGTAAGATCAACAAAAACAAATAAATCCAAGTTTATAATCCAACATTTTTCGCTTAAGTCTTTCAACGTGGGACTTCTAGCGTCTACCGAGAAGTGACGCAGTAGAATCAAGTTGCATCTTGAAGAGAAAAGATGAAATTGAATTTTGTAGGGAGAGGGTAATACCGGTTTGCTTTTGGCTCACAAAAGGGTTAGGATTTCAGAACGAGTTATATCCGTCCATGACATTGATTTGTGGCCATTTTAACTCCTTTTAAATGAATAAAAGAAAAATTGCATAAAAAAATTAAACTGAACTTTGATTAATGTCTAATGACATACATAAAAACGAAAGAGTGTGAAGAAAATATCTACATCGAAGTAGCATTAGTTTTCAATATTAATAATTTTTTTCTAAAAATGAAATTGAATTTCTTTTAGAGTTTGATTTTTAAATAGAAATAAAAATTGTACATAAAAATTTTATACTATTTTTGTGCCATTCGTCTTTAAATAAATAAAAAACGCATTATAATACACTTTCTTTACTTTTTATTTCTTAAACAAGTAAAGTATCGATATATTAATATTTTTATTCATAAATATCATTACTCTTTTTACAATGTGTTAGCATATTGAAAAAATAAAATAAAAGTGACATAGATAAATACGAATCATATGCCATTTATGGTAATAAAAAACCGCGTCCGAGGATTGGACTAGCCGTTTACTAAACTTAAGACCTTAACAGATTTTTGAATACTGCTGATATCTAAATATAATTTGTGTTGTTCATAAAACTGTCCTCCTCATGTTCTTTCTGCTTTCCTTGTCCACTTTTTCTTAACACATTTTCTTCTTGTCCCTGTTGAGAAAAACATCTTTAATTTCATGAGACAAGTATTACCATAAACTCAAAACACCAACATTTCATTATATGAGCTTCCCAATTGCAATTTTGTTACCAATATTGCAATTGGGAAGCTACCATAACGCTTGTCAATAATTTTGAGACACAATGACCTGTCTCAACCTCAATCTATCTCTTCGCCTTTCAATTTTTGTTTTCGTTTCATGGACCTTGTTTTCTCCCTGCCATGCAGAAAATTATGGATCCCTACAAGGTTCAATTTTCTTGAATATATTAAAATCACTTCTAATTTTAATTGATATCCTCTAGAAAGGGTTTTGATTACTTTATTCACATTTAAATGTAGAGAGTTTGTTTGTTAGTTTTCTCTTTTCTATTTCCTGCTGTTTACTAAATGTTGATTTTGGTTAATTTGGAAAATGTTCTGTTTATCATAGAATTTCTAATTGAAGGAGAAAATATTGCCAATTCATGGAGTAATACAACGGGACAATCAAATAACTCAGCATTACCATTAGCAGCAGAAAGAACACGCAGGATTGACCCTAGTAGTCATTTCAGTTACTATGAGGCTGGATGGGATATTACCAATAAACATTATATTCTGGTACGAGCTTCTTGTCATTTCAACTCCGTGCAATCTAATCTTCCAAGTTATAAACATGTACTTGACAACCCATGAACATGTACTTTTGTGCATAGATTAGACTATGTAAAGAATCAATTCAATCCAAAAGCTTAAGCTGTTGGGTGAGGCTACATTAATGATTTTATATATCTTAACACGTCCCCTCACATGAGAGTCCACTAGGTTTGAAATGTGGACAATGCACAAGCCCACCTACCTGCGCGAAGAAAGAAATTCCACTAGAAAGAAAGTGAGCGGCGGTGAGAATCGAACCCGGGACACGAGGCTCTGATACCATGTAAAAAATCAATTCAACCCAAAAACTTAAACTGTTGGATGAGACTACATTAATGATTTTATATATCTCAATAGACTACTTCTCACATGTTGTAATTCTTGTATATGTTGTAATTCTTGTATATGTTATAATAATTATTCTTCCAGCATGCAATTTTTTTATGCCTATTTCTTCTTTACATTTTTCCTTTTCTGGTTTCCTGATAAAGCTATCTTTTGTTTCAATTCCTACAATTTGATTTTGGAGCAGTCTCTTGCTTTTTCTGGTATTCCTTTGTTTGTCATTGCTGCTTTCTGGTGTTTCACTGTTGCAACATGCTTCACCATCATAGCTTGTTGCTATTGCTGCGGCCACAACAGGAAAAAGTCTAGGACAGATTACTCTCGAAAGGCTTATACAATATCTCTCATCTTTCTCTCAGTCTTCTTGATCGTCACAATGTAGGTCCCCATTAATCCCTTCTCATTTTTTTGTATAGAGCTTTGGAGTAGTAAAAGCATGTTTGAATCCATATTATTAGTGTTCACTTTTTAGCTATATTGCAGAATTGGATGCATTTTCCTTTACAATGGACAGGGGAACTTCCAAAGTACTGCAAGGGACGTGTCAGATATTCTTGTCATGAAAGCAAATTCAGTGGTTGATATCGTTCATAATGTATTGAGGAATCTTGCAGCGGCTAAGAAAATAGAAATAGCTCAATATTATCTTCCAGATGATATCAAGCATAGCATTGGAAAGGTTGAAAGATTTGCCAATCAAAGTTCAAATATTAAGAGCCAACCAGAGAAAATAGCAAAATTCTCAACTGAACTCCTGAATGATATGTGAGTGAATCCTACTTTATCTGTTTCCTTTATGATCCTTGGATTTATAAATTGGATTCAACTTACTAAAATAATGGTTATCAACTCCAGAAGCCGTAGTCTTGTTGCAGTTAGTGCTGGAATGCTTATATTGACAGTTGTTGGATTCAGTAAGTATATCATGTCCTAAATGATTATTTCCTTTTGAACAAACAATGCATTTGGCTCACAATATTGGCTTAATTATTCATTGCAGTAATCTCAATTTTTGGCTGGAAATTGATCGTCTATATGTAGGTGATTCAGTTCCATTTGTTTATTTTTTAATCTTTCATGTTTTCATTTCTTCCTCCATCTTTTCTCATTTTTTTGAATTTTTTTAAAGGGAAAAAGAAGTATCGTTTTAAATGACACAAACTTATGTCCTTTTAGGTGATTTACACAAAGTATGACCGATCATACTTTGTGTAAATCTGAAAAGTTACTTTTTTTTTCTCTTTCCCCAGTCACATCGCTGACGTATAAAGTGAAAAAAAAAACAACTTTTCATATTTACACAAAGTATGACCGGTCATACTTTGTGTAAGTCACTAAAAGCACACAACTTGTGTCCTTTTAAATGACACAGACTGAACCCTTTTTTTAATTCTAATCCAAAATATCACTGCAGCTTGTTCTTCATAGGATGGATCCTTGTCACAGGCACTTTTATATTGGGCGGTATATCTTTTATTGTTCAAAAGTAAGTTCCATTTAATCAATATAATATCACCAATCTTGTACTATTTGACGAGCATTACGCCATTAATCATGTTATGACAAGATCGAATAAGTTTTGTTTTTTACCAATAGAGTCTAAATTGTCTACTTCAATACTTACCAAAATTGTTCAATGAGCATTATTAGTATATGAGATAAGTTAATTTCAGAGGTTCAAACTAAAACTCTATTATTTAAATTTCAACCTGATCGTTGTTGATTCATTTGTTTTATTTATTTACCATTTCCAGTGGGGTAGGAGACACGTGTGCTGCAATGGATGATTGGCTTCAGCACCCACAAGATCATAATACAGCTCTAAGCAAACTTCTTCCTTGCATGGATGAGGCAGCAGCCAGAAGAACCTTGGACATAACCAGAAACACCTCTTTCCAAATAACCAATTTGGTTAATGCATTTGTGGTTAACGTAGCCAACAACCATGTTCCTCCATTTTTACAAGATTTCTACTACAATCAATCTGGTCCATTCATGCCCCTCCTGTGCAATCCATTTTTTCCTAACTTGACTGAAAGGACATGTGGTCCCTCTGAATTGAACTTAAAGGGCGCACCAACTGTAAGTTCACTTCAAAAATTAAACCCTCCTCTTGAATTGTTAGATAGATAATAATACAAACTATTAAAGGCTCATCATTTACCAAGTTGGGCTATTAGGTTAAATTGGTTGTTTTATATTATATTACAGCCTATCCACTTGGTTGCAATATTCATGCTTTAAGTTCAAAGAACTCTTGCAGGATTGTGTTAAAGAAATATAAAAAAAGGTAATATATTTCTCATGTTGCATCACGTAAAAAAGTAAATGGGACATACTAAAAAGAAGAGAGAGAAAGCACCTATTTTTTGTATGTTGCTTGACATAAATTGTTTCATGCAACATGATAAACATATTTTCTATATAAAAATCATTGAAGTGCCTACACACTTGACTTGGGAATAACTTTCCAGCCAATTATTTTTGGAAAAAGTGTGTGTCATTTTAAAGGAGGTAAAGTTGTGTCATTTTAAGAGAGAGTAAGAGATAGATAAAGGAGGAGAGAAAATTGACAAAAAAATAAAAGTGTGAGTTCCACCTTTTGTGAGAGTAAAAGGATATAAGATGTCATTTAAAAGAATAAACTTTTTTCTCATTATTTCTTCCCCTTTAACTGTGAAAACAAGTGCCTACATTTTAACAACATCTCATATACCAACATTTTTGCATAAACTGTTTTGTGTGTGTGAAAGACAACATAAATTATTGTTTACAAGTACGGTGTTGGTAACCATCATGGTTTTTTAATGGCCAGGCGTACCAAAGTTTTGTGTGTGACACTTCCCCATCTGGTCTCTGCATGACAATGGGAAGATTGACTCCTTCACTCTACACACAGGTGTTGGTGGCTACCAACATGAGTGACACACTGCATCGTTATGGTCCATTCCTGTCTCGCGTAGTAGATTGTACCTTTGTTGCAGAAACCTTTGCTCAAATCAATGAGGAAGATTGCCCCTTGTTAAGGAGATACAGCAACCAAGTCTTCATTGGCTTGGTGTTGGTTTCAGTTGCAGTTATGTTTTCTGTGATTTTGTGGCTAGTTTTTGTTAGAGAGAGATGGTTACAAATATCTTCAAAGAAGTTGAGAACACCATATGCTGAGCTTCGATGAGACCAAAAAAAAAAAGGCCATTAGAGAGATATATATATAATTGCACTATCATCAGCTTTAATTATTATGAATTATTATTATAACCAAATGAAACTCGTATCAAATAATGTATTGACCTGAGCTTAGCCATTCAAGAAGGCTAATGGTGAGGAATTTGGAATATCTTTCTCCAATTAACTAACTGCTTAGTGTTACACAGGCACATAATGAAGTTTCCTCTTGTACATTATTTTTGGTATTGGCAACAACTTTTCAATATGTCTTTCATTACACATTAACGTTCAACCCAAAATTGGAAGTATGGTTAAAATCTTATTAAAATATTGATTCATAAGTATATTTAAACAATTTATCTGTTTAAACATAAAGGGTTTTTTTTTTTATATATATTAATTGGGGGAAAAAAAAGAACTAGCTACAAATATATAGTCTGTATACTGCATCAGTGGTGAGCCATAAGCAAAGGACTTGAACCAGGGAAACAAGGGAGCGTTTAATTTAACTTTTGAAAATATATTCTCAAGAATAACATGTCCAATAATAATATTCTCACGAATGGTAATAATTAGAATAAGGGAAATATTTATCAACTTTTATTTACAAACTACATTAAGTATAACCGGTCATATTATGACCGGTCATACTTAATATAATTTATAAAAAAAAATTATAAACGAATCTTTTCATTTAAATAATAATGGCAAGTTTGATTACACTGTTCACCAAAACATTCTTACGAATGATTCATATTCATAATAGCATAAGGGATGATCGGATTTTTATGATTAGTGTCTAGTGGTGGCGGCTAATCAAGGGAAAAGATGACAGGGTTTTTTTTTTTGTGATTGGCAATCAAACAATGGCAAAGACTAACTACTGAAATTTAGTAATTGACGACAATGGTCAAAGTCTCTGACTTTGGTGGCGGTTGGTTGTCGTTGTTGTCGACAATGATATAACATTGGTTGTTGGATAACATAGTAACATAAGGATAAGTATATTAAAAGATGAGAAAAATATTTGCTTAGTTAAAATTATTATTTATTTAATATTTAAATTAAACAAAATTCTCGCTTTCTTTTACCATTATTTATTTATTTTATTATAAAACACAGTTATTTTGATTAAAATAATATAATTTTATATTCAAGGACATATATTAATCCCATTAAAAATTTCATGTGACAAAAGCAAAAACTCTAACGGAAATAAAAAGTAGGAGAATGTTAGACAAAAACATTTCCAAAATTCACACTTTGATATAAATTCTCTTTAAAATCTTATTGCAAATATGGAAAGTTAACATTACCGTGCAAAAGCATAATGAAAAAACAATCCGCCAATCAAATGCAAAAGCATCTAGAAGGTAAAGCATTGAAACTTTCCCTCGTATTTTTTTTCATTTTGGCTTACTTATTACATAAAATCAAATCCAAAAGGAATAATTAACGATCGGAAAAACACTTTTTCTATAATAGGAAAAATGTTGTCTCAAGCTGTAGATACAATTTTTGTGGGGCCCATTCATTTTTTTTAAAAAAAAAATTGGCATGGGATTTGATGGGTGTATAGGAGAAGTTTTTCTTCTTCTCTTATTATAGGATAAGTTATTATCCCTTAACAATTAATAAATAAATGTTTATAGTGAAAAAAATATAATAAATTAGTACGAAGGAGGCAAAAAGAATCATTAATATTAAACAATGTCAAATAAGTTTTTTTTAATTGTTCATAAAACAAATTAACTGTCTCTTACTACAATTGTATAGTCCTCCCCTCGGGCTTATTTTTGAATAAATGATGTTACACATATATAAAATTTGGCAAAACTCATTTTAAATAAAAAATTACAAAATAATTAAAATTAAAATCAAACGCTTAAAATTCAAAAAAAGATGCATGGACGATTCTAAAACCAACACTAGCTGCATCAATGAACTTTGCTATCAAATTCAGGTAGAGGAGGATATTGCTCGCAAAATTTTTATTATTCAGTTTGTAGCAAATGGTAATAAAGTGATGAGTAACATGCATATCCAGAAACTGCACATTTAAAATTGAGAAAATTATTATTTGACACGTAATATTTAATGTGAAAAATCCCCTACTAAGGAAAAAACCAAGATTAGAAGAATCATGAAGTAGAAATAATATTATTATATTTTTCAAGAAATGTTGGTTATTATGAAATTTATTATTAAAATTTAATATTTTCCCTATAAATTAGAGATAATTTTATTTCATGCATATACATGTATATAAGTCTATCTTAATTTTTTTCTTTTCGTCTTTTCGTCTCTTCTTCTTATAGGGCTCCATCCATTTGCATGTGTATATATGGGATAAAATTATGTAGTTGCAAGATAAGCATTAACTTTTTTTTTTTGGTGAATAACATTAACCCTTTTTATTAATTAAAGTCCTTGTACTCTTGTTTAATATTGTTTCATTAAATATTATTATAAATAATTTATAATTTTATATATTTCATTCTTTTTTAACAATCATAAGTCATTCTAGATGTTGATAAATTGTATATATTACTTGTTATTCACTGAAAGTTTATAGTTTAATATTAGTATTTTAGCAAAAAATTTAAATGTAAATGTAGAATGATCTATTGATTTTTTTAAAATTTGAAAATGAAGTGTTTACGTGTTGTTTATTTAAATAATAAAAATTTTATTTGCGAATTCAAGGGTTGCAAGACTTAAAAAGAAGAAGATTAACTACTAATTAATAAAAAGATTCCACTTACCAAAAAAATAAAATAAAAAGAATCCAATGTTCATTGCATCATAATTATGAAAATATTTAATTTGAAAACAGAGACATTAAAAAATTGACTTTTGAAAACCAAATGCAATGTACCTCCAATTGCTTTATTTTATTTTTGTAAGGAAATACGAATTATTAGAGAAGTTAATTTATTGAGATGGTATTCAAATTTATGCCGATTATTACGAGAGTTATTTGTTTGAAATTTTTGACAAACGATTTGGCTTCATTTAGTTTAACTAGTGTATTATCTGTGTGTTGTACAGATGAAAAAAAGAAAGAAATTAATTTATTTGTATCGTAAAAATTAACACAAATTTTAAATAAATTTTATAAATAACATTTTGTAGGACTAAAATACCTAATGATATTAGGTAATGTACAAATAATAATCAAACACTTTATAAGTGACAAATTTTATTTTTTTTTGTCAGCATAAAGAGAGCTTAGGGGTGTTCATCAATCGATCCAAACCGATTCAAACCGCAGTGACCGAACCGATAATCGAACAAACTGAAAAATCGAAAACCGAAAAAAAACTGCAACTTTTAATTGGATTGGATCGATTTTTGGATTGCTTAATAAAAACTGATCCAATCCAAACCGCTCTAATATATCAATTTCTCTCTACCTACTTGGGCCTTTCTCCAATCATAATCTAAAAATTTTTAAACCCAAGACCCATTAACCTATCAACTAAACCCAAGAAAAAACCTAGTCACATCATTTCATCTGCGTAGAGTTTCATATCTCATTGCTCCCAAAAAAAAATTATATTATCATTTACTGATGCTTTTGTATTTCAATTTTTTTTTACAAAGCCAATATATATACAAAAGATGTTATCTGCATGAAACAAATTTTGGGATTTTCAAAAAATCGAAAACCGATCCAATCCAAACCCAAAAAAATTGGATCGGATCGGATCGGATTTGAAAAAAAGTATAAATCGAATGGATGATTACATGATCAAACCGAAGGGATTATTGGATCAGATGATTTTTGCTTCCAAAACTGATCCAATCCAATCCAGACCGCGAACACCCGTACTCATGATGTTTAAGTCTTGATCACGATTAAATAATTATTGAAATATCTATTAGAGAAGTTAATTTCTTGAGATGGTATTCAAATTTTATGCTCAATATTACGAGAGTTACTTGTTTGAAATTTTGCACAAATGGTTTGGCTTCATTCTATTTAATGTGCTAAGCCATTCCGTATTTTGCGCCGTGTAGTAATGTCTCATTTAATACTCTCTTACGTTAAAAAAGTTTATGTTTCGGCAATTTTCCTTAGATTATTATATTAAAGAGAAAAATATTTCTATAATTACTGCAGATAAGTTATCTGTATTTATTTTCAAAACGAAGTTGTTTTGGTATTAAAAAATTAAAAAATTATAATCATAAAGACTATAATAATCCTGAAATAAATTAAAATTATAAAAACACATGATATCTGCCTCAAAACGACGTTGTATTGGGCTTACTGCAGATAACTTATCTCCAGTAATTGCAGAAAAAGAGAACCCTATATTAAAATGAGAAAAGTATTTCTTCCCTTATCGGAAATAAAATTATCTCCAATAAGCTTATAACGATATCATTTTGGATTATAAAAATAAAAAATTATAATGATAAAAACTAATATAACCTTGTAAAATTTTGAAATTACAAAAATATTTTAATTCTTACCCTAAAATAACATCATTTTGGATTCACAGAATATAACTTATCCAGAAAAAAATCCTTTACCCTATTAAAATATGATATAAATACACGACGACATACTAGAATCATTGGTGAATGACACTTTTGAACCATTTCCTATTTTGCTGTTGGTAAGGTTAGTGTTTCTCTTTTATAGCTCCTTCCCTATATATATGAATATTGGATGCTATGTGTGTTTTTTAGTGTGATTTTACGAAATGATTTGTGATGTGATTTCAGTTTAGAATTGAGCTGCGGAAAAACCTCATTCTGTATTCCGACACGGAGGCACCACCGGACGAGTTCCTCTCTCCGCCTCCGTCGCCTCCTCGACTTCGTTACGACGACGGTAGAATCTCTTCTTCTTCTTTTTCATCGTTTTTCTGTCTCGTTCCTGTGTTTGTTTATTCGATTCGATGAATGAATAGAATTTCCCTTTGATTCTCATTATCGTTAATTTTGATTATTATCCAAATAATAATAATATAATGCAATTGTAATTTCTTATCCCAGTTTTTCTGTGGATTAGATTAAGAGGAGGAATTCAAGTGAGGAGGCTATGGTTTGAGGAAATTGGTTAAGGGGAATTTTTTTAACATGAAGAAAAAGAGATACGATATTGACATTTTATTCTCTATTGTAGAATTTTTTTACTTGAGATGAGAACAACTTTGTTGAAGTACAACATGGAGAGAAATAAGCTATCATGCTGTTCTTCATGGGAGTGTTATTTTATTTTTTTTGGGATGAAAAAGTCGATATTTGCCATGAGTATTGAGATACCACTATGCTATTGTTTGTTTTGGTGTTATCTTTATCTCGATTTTTAAAAATCTAGGTTTTCGGAATAAATTTGAAGCTGTAATTCATTGACACTGTTGTTTCTACATCTAACACGTTTAAGACGTCAACACTACATGTTGTCACTTTAATAACTTTAATCAGTGCTGTTAGGTATAAAATTTATTAAAATTTTAATATTTGGCACAATTTAGATAATTTATAAACATTCCTGTTATAGAGGTCCTGTGACGTCCAGTCTCTTCTGTGCTTGTTTGATACTTCCCAAATATCCTCCAATTGGGTCAAGGTTTGGTCCTTTGTTTGTACTGATTTGTGTTCCTGTAAGTCTTTCTTTTGATTTCTTTCAAGTTTTCAAATGAAGTGTCTTTCTTGCTAAGCTTTTTCAGAAATCCAAATCTCCCTGAATGGTTGAGTCTTTTGTTTGGACATTGATTCTTAGTAAGATTAATACAAATGATACTCTACAGCTTCATGGACCAAAGAAAGCTGTCTGTCTGTGTTTTGTGTGATTCTGTTTCAGAAACAGCTGCCCACTTGTTTTTACATTGTATTGGTGCTGGTTTTGTTTGCTATAAGTCGTTTAATATTATGTTCTTCGAGTCTAGGGCAGTTCTTATTGATTTACTTTGGAGGTTTTGGAAATTGGAAGTATCAAGGATGGAAAAACTTTATGCTTGTAGTTCTTTGGTGTGCTCATAGCTGTTATTAGCATGCCGTAGTAATGCTAGGGACATATAATGTCTCTTATGCATATGCATGCCCCTTTATATGTTTCCTTTTATAATCTGATTTGATCAGAATGTTCTTTTTCTTGTGCTTCAGTTAATTTGAATTTGATAGATTCCAATAATTGGAGACCTAATCAAGGTACTGAACCCACTATGGATACCAGTGATTGGAGAGCTCAACTGCCTCCTGATTCGCGCCAAAGAATTGTCAACAAAATGTAAGCGTCAGTTTTAATACTGTATCACTGAGGTTATTTGAATAGTTTTATTATCAGTTGTTGCATATCAAAAGAAAGTTAATAAACAATTAATTAATCCATAACCTGGCTATATTTCCAAAAGGTTTCTTTTGTTTGTCATATAGAAGCAATTCTGTACAAGGAAAATAGAAATGCATGTATGGTGGAAGAACTAAAACATGAGACACGTAACATCATTCTGTATGATTGTCTAATACATATAAAGTATAGAATTTTGCTCAAAATTCTATTTGATATGTGAAGAACAATAATCAAATATATTCATCATCCTTTTCCAAATTGATGTTATTTATTTGAATCACTACTGAATATTGGTTTTTAGTACTGCATCAAGTTCCATGCATGACCTTTAGTATGTCTGTGCTTCAATACTCTTCTTGGATGAGTGAGCAGGAAATGACCATTATTGGTTGTTAAACATTAACACTATAATTTTAAGGTTTGCCAATCATTTGCTGTTGTATTGCACAATATATTAGAATAATTTGGAATAAACTTTTTTGTATCATTAAAGGGTGAGCCTTGCAGCTATGTTAAGGTTGTTGGGACATCGGTCCCTCAAATCAGCGCGGAAGCAAATTAGCAAGTCGGCAGGTCGAGCTAGGAGCTTGGCACTCAGAGGTCGGCCTGAAGTCACCAGGTCGGCCAACACGCAGCAGAAAAACGAAAAATGTGCAGAGGAGAGAGACAGAGAAGAACACAGTCAAATTTTAACATGAAAAACCTTTCTCAATGTGAAGAAGTAAAAATCACGGAACACTAGTCCAAAATCAAACTTCCACTATGAAAATAATGAGTTACAAGAAATCAAACTTCACCAACAAAAGGTGGTTCACTCAAACTTAAATAAAGAAGTCTAACTCTCAATCTTCTCTTTAGAGATATACGTCAGTATGGATGAGGTCAAGAACATACTTGCGTCGTTTGGGTTGATTCGGTCTCACGAAAGAAATCTGGTGCTACTTTCCAGCTAGGTAGTATGTGCAACTCTCCAGCACTTGGCCTTTCAACTGGTTAGAAGTCCCTTCTTGTTCAGGATTTGAATTCTTTTTCACTCATGTGGCCAAGACGTTTGTACCACAACTCCATGCTAGGTCGATAGAGTTGGCTTCTCCACCATTTATCTTTCCTTGCATCACATATAAGGAGTCTTTCTTTTTACCTCGAGCCACCACCAAGTTTCCTTTGGCCAATTTTCATCTACTTCCTCTGAAGTAATTTACTAACCTGGCATCGTCAAGCTTGCCTATCGAGATTAGGTTTAGTCGCATGTCAGGAACATGCCTTACATCCTTCAGTACAAGTCAGCACCCGACATCCGTGGTTAGGGTTACATTATCGACACCATAATCTTGCTTGTCACCTTATTTTCATCTTCACTACTCTGGAATCACCATTTCTATAGGAAGAGAAAAAACCTTTGTGTGGAGTAACGTGGAAGGAGGCACCTAAGTCAACAATCTAGGCACAGTTATCATAAGCTACATTCAAAAAATTGTCTTCTTCGAGAAGAAATATCTCGGCATCAGCATTAGCAACTATCGCAATGATGCTCTTGTCCTATTTCTTCTTTGGAACAATCTGATCCGGCTTCACAGTACCGTTCTTTTCATCTTTCTGCAAAGTCCTGTAGTCAGGCTTTTTGTGGTCTGGCTTCCCACAGTAGAAGCATTTCAATTCATATTTCGACCTAGACCGGCCTCTGGACTTATCATGTCTATCACGACCCCGACTCTTGCTTTGACCCCAGGCGTCGGACCTTCCTCTATTCTCATCCACGTTTGCCTTGGACGTGCTGGTTACACCTCATTCTCTTCTCCTGGATTCTTCATTGAAGAGGCTGTTGGCCACGATATCCATTGTCAAATTTCCATCAAGAGCCGAGTTACTTAAAGTAATTACCAGAGTATCCCAGCTTTTTGCAGCGAGCTCAGCAGCAGTAGAGCCTGCATCTCGTCATCTATCTTCATCTCGGCTTTGGAAAGCTGATTCACAATACCTTTGTAGGTGTAAAAAATCAATTAAACCCAAAACCTTAAAGTGTTGGGTGAGAGCCTTTTTAATGGTTTATATTATTCTCTAACACACCCCCTCACGCAAAATCCCTTTGGACTTGAAGCGTGGATATTACACAGGCCTAATTTTTGGTTTACCTTGTGCTTATTTTAATTCCACTAGAAAGTGAGGCGGTAAGGATCGAACTCGTGACCTTGTGGTCTCTGAAGCTCTGATACCATGTAAAGAACCAATTCAACCCCAAACCTTAAGATGTTGGGTGAAGGCATTTTTAATGGTTTATATTATTCTCTAACAGTGGGTGTTGAGGTGCTCAATCATACTCATGCAGTCCTTGTATTCCAGCTTCACAAGTTGGCGAACCACGTGTGCCTTGTTCCTAGGAGTCTTCTTCTGGATCGTGGACTCCAGCTTCGTCCATAACTCGTACGCATTCTTGAACTCGGCAACGTGCTCAAGAGGCTTTTGTCGATATATTTCCTGATTATGGCCACCGCCTTCTGATTCGGGATTTCCCTTTCCTTCAGGCATCTGGGCTTGGACAATGGGCTCATATAAACTTTTACAGTAGATATGGTATTCCATCATAGGTCTCCAATAAGTGAAATTGTCAGCAGTCAATTTAAACATGTCTCCGTCGTGGGTGGGCAACGCCGTTAGTTTCCATCTCATCTCCTTCAGAACCCTTTGAACCTGGGCTTTGATACCACTGTTGGGACGTCGGTCCCTCAAATCAACGCAGAAGCAAATTAGCAAGTCGGCAGGTCGAGCTAGGAGCTTGGCACTCAGAGGTAGGCCTGAAGTCACCAAGTCGGCCAACACGCAGCAGAAAAACAAAAAATGTGCAAAGGAGAGAGACAGAGAAGAACACAGTCAAATTTTAACATGGAAAACCTTCTTCAATCTGAAGAAGTAAAAACCACGGGGCACTAATCCAGAATCAAACTTCCACTATGAAAATAATGGGTTACAAGAAATCAAACTTCACCAACAAAAGGTGGTTCACTCAAATTTCCCTAAAGATGTCTAACTCTCAATATTCTCTTTAGAGGTATTTTTACTCAACTCTCCTTCTAAACTCCTCCAACCCTCTACCAAGCATATATAGGAGAAGAAGAAGATTCTAGATCATGGAGATACAAGGAGACAACATTGAGCCACGCAAAGGTGTGTCTCCTTGAGCCTCGCACCAAGTGAGAGTTCCCACAACCTTGAGCCTTGTGCCAAGCATTGAAGGAAGGAATGTCCCCAACAAAGGTTGCTTCTTTGTGATCAAAACGTCACAGGTTCGAGTCTAGGAAACAACTTCTTTGTAAAAAGTCAAAGCTAAGGCTACGTACAATCAACTCTCCCTCCTATACTTGCAAAGTTGGGGAGGCTTGTGTACTGGGATTTTCTTTTTTTAAAATTTTGTTTATCATTGTGGAGCCTTGGGTCTGTCCTCTGAATATGGAACACTTTTTTTTAAATTTATTTTAGAGATTTGAAAAAAGGAGGGAGAACAAGGCTTTTGGCAGTGTGCTATCTGTGTAAGAATTATTCCGTTGGAGGGCAGTGCCGTTATAATCAAACAGAAATCTATGTCTTTTCAGTATACAGGTTTAGGATTGTGTATTTAGAGACGTCAGGTGGAAAGCTACAGTAGCTAAAAATTTTATATCCACCAAAAAAAAAAATTCTTATATCCTGATAGGAGACTAAGATGTTACCAAGACCATCACTGCAGTCTATTAATCCTACTCTCTCTCTCTCTCTCTCTCTCTCCCTCTCTCGTTTAAGATTTCTCTAATGATTTCATCAACTTTTTACAGCTAATCGTGTTCTGTCTTTTAAGGATTGTCTGATGATATCTTGATAACTTGCGTTATTTAATTATGAAACTGTTGTTTTTAATTTTGTAGAATGGACACGTTAAAGAAACATCTTCCTGTTTCTGGTCATGAAGGATTAGCTGAACTTCGGAAGATTGCTCAAAGGTTTGAAGAGAAGATTTTTCGCGCTGCAACAAGCCAGGTACATTCATTATTAGGATTGAGGAGCTTCAATTTTCATTTATGGTTACCTAAAATGTATACAATATGGAAGATTGATGGTTTAATGTGGTAATGGTGTTCCCCCTTTTCAGTCTGATTATCTACGGAAAATATCTTTGAAGATGCTTACAATGGAGACAAAATCTCAGAACACCATGGCCAACAATATGCCATCAAATCAAGTTGGCCCTAGCAATAAACCTTCTGATCAAGGTTAGCATTTAATAGCCTTGGTTAGGTGATAGTAGACTGATGAGATACCAAAGTGGCAAATTCTATTTAATTATTTATGTATTTAAATATTTGGAAAAGTATATTTAGCTCCCCTGGGCATTTACAAAGTGCTACCACAAACTTTAAAGTAGTCTCAATTATTTCCTTAATTCTAATTATTTCTCTAATAAATCCTTCCGTTTAACTTCTGTTATGTCCTTAATGGAAGTGCCACTTGGAAAATTTAAGCCCTCCTTTCCTATGTAATTTGGACCCTTTATTAATTTATTTAACCTCTGATTTTATAACTTCCAAAATTAAAAAATAAAAAATTTGAGAAAATAAATAAATTAAAAAATTAATGAGTGTTCTTCCAAATTTATGAAACTGGAGGAAAATGATAGTTCGACGTGAGATTGGGTGGGACAAGTGACCATGTGGTCAGGTCACTGATTTGTTTGACTTACAGGAGGATCTCTATCTCCCAGTCGATCCTGCTCCTCTTCACAAACAGAGTAAGATGAGATCCTTTTTCTCTCTCTATAACCTTACTCTGCATAGTCCACTGCTCCAACTCAAGTATACCGAAAGCAGCTACAGCAGGTTGCAGCCAATCCCCCCAAGTCTTACTGAAGATTGAGAAATTATTGAATTTAGATAAAAAATTTAAATTTAAATAATAAATCAAGGGCTGTGATTGAGAATTTGTCAGGTGGCATTTCTGTTCAGTTAAATATTTAAGGGAAGTTAAATGGAATTATCTATTGGAGTATTAGACAAAATTTAAGGACTAATTGGGATAACTTTAAAGTTCATGGTGTCACTTTACAAATGTCCCAAAGTTTAGGGGAGCCTAATTTACTTTTCCCTTGAATATTTGATTAAATCTTGTCATCCTGTTCTTCTAGTAATTATTTTGATTTTCTGAGTATTCTATTGCTTGAAATATAATATATGTGAACAGAGGTATTGAACACTGCTTTCTGTGTATTGTGCTCATTCAGAATAAAGGTTACAATATATACAATAGACTACTAATTAGCTGTCAGAGAGAAAAAAAATGAATACACCTAAACTTTAGCCATTAGACAGAAAAGTACTAAAAATAGAAAAGGAAATAAATTTACAGATATTAATCTCATGATTTCGGGATTGACCAAATCCCTTAATCCTTGGGATTTTAATTTCGGATTCCATTACTCCATTGGCCATTCATACTATCCTTGTCCTTTGTCGTCCTTTATTTTTTTCTTTTGAACATTTACATTGACCTTTTCCATGTGTTATTAAAATCCAAATGCATACTCATGTTGTAATGTGATCCATAATTTTTTGGTTTTCCTTCTCACTTAGGCAACCAAATTTTTTCATAGGACTTGCTTTGCAGCCTCAAGCTAATAATCCTGGGCAGCAACATCCTATTCCTTTGCCTAGTCAGCCCCAGCAACGTCAGCAGCTGCTATCTCAAAACATTCAAAATAACATTGCACCTCAACCGAACCTTCCACCTGTATCTAGTCTGGCCCAGACTACCAGCCATAATATTGGCCAGAATTCAAACTTGCAGAATGTACCTGGGCAAAATTCAGTGGGGAGCACTACTGGTCAGAATTCCAACGTACAGAATATTTTTCCTGGTTCTCAGAGACAAATGCCAGGAAGGCAGCAGGTTGTTCCCCAGCAGCAATCACAGAATGCACAGCAGTATCTTTACCAACAGCAGCTTTTGAAGCATAACCTTTTGAAGCATAACCAGCTGCAGTCTCAATTCCAGCAGCAACAACAGCAGAACCTTCTGCAACCCAATCAGTTGCAATCTTCTCAGCAGTCAGTCATGCAAACATCATCTGTTGTGCAGCCTTCCATGATGCCAACATCTTCTATATCCAGCATTCCACAGAATCAACAGTCTAATAATGTTCAACAGTCAACACAGTCCATGCTTCAGCATCATCCACAAGTTATCAGGCACCAGCAACAGCAGACTTCTGTTGTACATCAACAACAAACACCAATGACTCAGCAGCCAATCTTGCCTGCACAGCAGCAGCAGCAGCAGCAGCAGCAGCAGGTTATGGTGCCTCAGTCAAATGCAACAAACATGCAACATGCTCAGATGCTTGGGCCACAGACCAATGTTGGTGATATACAGCAATCACAGAGGTTGCTTTCACAGCAGAATAATATTACAAACCTGCAACAACGACAGCAACAACAACAGCAACAGTTGATAAATCAGCAAAACAACCTAGCAAATATACATCAACAACAGTTGGGAAACAATGTCTCTGGGTTACAACAGCAACAGTTGCTTGTACCTGAATCTGGAAACCCAGGCATGCAAACAAGCCATCACTCTTCACACATGCTACAACAATCTAAGGTTCCAATGCAGCAACAAACACAAACAAATGCATCCAATTTGTTACCGTCTCATGTGCAGCAGTCACAGCCACAGGTTGCACCACAGCAATTAATGTCTCAGCCTGCACAGTTGCAACAGCAGTTGGGTTTGCAGCAGCAGCCAAATCCCTTACAACGAGATATGCAGCAAAGACTCCAAGTATCTGGGTCCTTACTTCAACAGCAAAATGTTCTTGATCAGCAAAAACAGTTATATCAATCTCAAAGAGCTCTTCCAGAAACTTCAACAAGTATGTACTTGCATCTATGTATTTCTTCTTTGTAATTATATTTTTTGTGAGTTAATGGCTCTATTAGCAAACGTCAAGTACTCTTATGCATTTCCTAAGCCTTGTATGCTCACGTGTTTTTCATATCATATCTATTGTAGCTTCTCTGGATTCTACAACACAGACTGCACAACCAAGTGGGGTTGATTGGCAAGAAGAAGTGTACCAAAAGGTACTATGCCATTTTTCTTATCACTTTTATTTCCTCCCAAAGTTTTTCTAGGGCAACAGAAATCAGTCAAGCAAACTGTAAAGTAAAATAAAGGAGAGTTATATGATGGTTTTTATTGTGAGAATTTTACTTAATATTAAGAACATGAACTCTTCATTGAGGAAAAGTCATGATTTTTTTTTTTTCAAATATACCCATAGGCAAAGCCCTTCAAAATAAGGGCAAGCCTGAAGTAGTAGTAATTGTTTCTTTGTGATTGAGTATGAAAGGTCACGGGTTCGAATCTAGAAAATGGCCACTTTGCAAAATTGCAAGGATAAGCCTACACACAAGGATTTCCTCACCCTTACCCCCATGAGTCGGGGTTTCATGGGGAGTTGTTGTACCCACAGGTCTGAAATCTTTTATCCATTCTGTGCAATGTTTAAATGAATGATACCCATCTTAAGCATAAAATTTGAAATGGAGCTGCTAATGTTTGACAACAAAAAATAAATTCATTTTTATGTCTTTAGTGAATTTCTTCTATTACTACCCTTTTATCCTCTATTAGTTGTTGCCATTAAGAAAACCTCTTTGTAATTATTAATCAAATGCTATACTATATTCATATGAATGGTATTGCTACGGTTCAACCTGGTGTTATTGTTTATACATCCTCTCAATTTAAGCATCAAAGTGAAACTCACAATTTATGCCTTAGGAAAGAAGAAAAAGAACTTATTGTTATCATCTCCATAAGTGTTAATGCAACAGTGATACGGCTGTTTTTGCATGAGAGATCTCAAGTTTGCTAATGTTTTGATTAGTTGATTCTCTGCTGATTTCAACCTACAGATCCAAACCATGAAAGAAAGCTACTTGCCAGATGTGAATGAAATTTACCAGAAAATTGCTGCTAAAGTTCAGCAGGTATTTTACAATTCTTTTTTAACTTGTCAATTTTAATAGCTGTTATCGGTAAAGCAGCCATTTCCATTTCAATTACAGTGGTAAACACTGGAATTTGCAGCCTGTGCTAAGCAGTAAATACTATTGAGCCTTAACCCCATTCTGAAATGGAGCACTTTATTCCTATTGTTGGCTTATAACATCTTGGGAACCCAAAAATCATTTACTTTTTTTTTTTTTGTTAGCAGGATGCTTTATTCTTGACAATGGAATGTGTTCTATACTTATTAAATCTTAACCTATACCTTGAGGACACTCTCGATAGCATATACCATAATTTATTAATGGATGTGCACTTACATCTGTTTACTCCTTATTTGTGGTTTTCCTTATCAGCATGACTCTCTTCCCCAACAACCGAAGTCAGATCAGATTGAAAAGCTCAGGGCATATAAAATGATGTTGGAGCGTATAATATCATTCTTACAGATTTCAAAGAACAACGTTTTGCCTAATTTAAAGGATAAATTAGGAGCATATGAGAAGCAGATTATAAATCTCATAAATCCACATAGACCTAGGAAAGGCATGTCTTCATTGCAGCCTGGACAGATTCCCCAACCTCATATGCACTCCATGCCACAGCCACAATCCCAAGTTACTCCAGTACAGTCTCATGAAATTCAAATGAACTCTCAGTTGCAGCAAACAAATTTTCAAGGTTCCGTACCAACAATGCAGCATAATAATATTGCAAGCTTGCAGCACAATTCTATGTCTGGGGTTTCGACAGCACAGCAGAATATGATGAATTCTGTGCAACCTGGTACTAATTTAGATTCCGGGCAAGGAAATTCTGTTAACTCTCTGCAACAGGTTTCAGTGAGCTCCCTTCAACAAAACCCTGTTAGCACTCCTCAACAGACTAACATTAATTCCTTTCCAGCTCATGGTGGGGTGAATGTGATCCAACCAAATCTAAATACCCTTCAGTCAGGTTCCAGTATGCTTCAACACCAACTGAAACATCAGCAGGAACATCAGATGCTGCAGAGTCAACAGTTCAAACATTATCAGCAACGACAGTTGATGCAGAGGCAGCAGCAGCAGCAGCAACTACACCAGCCAGCAAAGCAACAGCTCTCTGCACAATTGCAGGGACATCAAATGCCTCAGCTTAATCAAATGAATGATATGAATGATATAAAAATGCGACAAGGAATGGGTGTTAAGCCAGTCTTTCAGCAACATCTTACCTCAGGTCAACACTCTGCTTATTCCCATCAACAGTTGAAACAAGGGGGTCAATTTCCTGTTTCTTCACCCCAACTCCTTCAGGCTGCATCTCCTCAGATTCCACAACATTCATCTCCTCAGGTTGACCAGCAAAATCATCTTCTGTCCCTAACAAAAGTTGCAACTCCTCTGCAGTCTTCTAATTCACCTTTTGTGGGCCCTACTCCTTCACCTCCCTTGGCTCCATCTCCTATGCCAGGAGATTCGGAGAAGCTCATTCCTGGTGTTTCATCATTATCAAATGCTGCAAATATTGGGCATCAACAAACAGGGGGTGCAGCAGCACCAGCTCAGTCCCTTGCCATTGCGACTCCTGGGATATCAGCCTCTCCTTTGTTGGCAGAGTTCAGTGGTCCGGATGGTGCTCAAGGAAATGCTTTAGCAGCCACTTCTGGGAAGTCAACTGTTACAGAGCAGCCTCTTGAACGCCTAATTAAAGCGGTTAGTCAAGCAAGCTGATATTGTGCTAGCCTAATCAGTTGTTCTGCCTACAAGTTTTTTACTGGATATGACAAATTACAGACAGAAAAGGTTCCCTTAATTATTTTATTGTTTTATGTTGGAGTTATAGATGACAAATTTATGTTTAAATCATGATTTCAGGTGAAATCAATGTCACCTGAAGCACTGAGTGCTGCGGTCAATGATATTGGTTCAGTTGTCAGCATGAATGATAGGATAGCAGGATCAGCTCCGGGTAATGGATCCAGAGCTGCTGTTGGTGAGGATTTGGTTTCCATGACTAATTGTCGTCTTCAGGCTAGAAATTTCATTACTCAAGATGGTACAAATGGAATTAAGAGGATGAGACGCTACACCAGTGCCATACCCTTGAATGTTGTATCATCTGCTGGTAGCATGAATGATAGTATGAAGCAGTTGACTGCGTTAGAGGCTTCTGATCTGGAGTCAACTGCAACATCTAGTGTGAAGAAGCAAAAGATTGAGGTACTAAATTATATGTTCTTAACTGTTACGTTTTATTTTATAATGGATATATTTTATTGTCATTGCTCTTTGTTCGTTGGCTAGACATTGAGATTTGTAAATGGGCTTGTACATATGATTATAGATGCACTAACATGTAATCTACATTACTTCTGCACCCTTTTTATTTAACACACTGCCTTGCCCAACTAAAAGTTCAAGAGCTTTTATATCTTCTGACTATGAAGACCTGAAGTAAAAAAAGATAGTTGAATTTAGAAGAGCGAAGAAAGGTGCAATTTCATGTTCACACATTTAGGCAGTAAATACAGAACTTAGAACTCATTTAGAAGTTATATTTCAAAATGCATTTCCAGCTAAACGCTGTTAACCAAATTTCAGATTTTGATGTCTGAACTTCAAGCACAGCTAACAGTAGCAAAAATGTAGCACAACACGAGGGAGGGGTGGGACAAAGGGAAAGAAAGAAACATGTGGTTGGATATTTGAACTGATGTATACTTGTATACTGCAGAAGCACAAGTTATTTGCGTCCATCAGTATCTTAAATATACAGGAAATGAAAAAGAAAATTGTGTCGTTTGTTCTTTTTTATTTGTGACACTGCTGTGTGGTTGTTTACTGAATTGGAATTATTTATGGTTGTAATTGTAGCTATTTATTTAATTAAGCAAAACAGCCTGTTAATGATTCAACAACTCACTGAGTGGGATTTGTTACATGGATCAAATGAGGTTGATGTCATTGGGCTCTATCAAAAAACATATTTTCAATAAATCGATTTAGAGTATGGTATTTTCTAATGGTTTTCGCCAAAGTTTTCTTTGTACTCTACATCTTTTGGTTCTTCTAATCAGACTATCTTTCATTTGACCTATTTTTCTACTAGAGTCTCCATTGGTCTTCTCCTTACATGTCAAATCCATCTTAGGCATGTTTTTGTCATCTTCTCCTTAATAGGTGTTTAACTTTCTCCCAAAAAAACACACTCCTAGTCTTATCAAATGTAACTACGTGATATAGTAATTACTAATCAGTAAAATAATGACAATAACAAATAATCAAGATAAACAATTATTGTAGTAATTAAACAATATAACAATTATTTAGTGGTTAGGCTGATGCATGTAGTTGTCTGTATTAAATTATTTTTATTTTGATTAATAATTTGTCCCGTGTTCACAAACAGTCTTTATCCTCCCCAGTCCCCACTTAGTAACAATGATCAAGTATGCCATGAACTTAAAAGCTTAAAACCTATTGTTGGTCTAACTCTATTACGTAAATAATTTTAGGTTTTTATGTTATTGATGTGGCATTCCATTGGATTCATCATATGATTGATAGAATTTTACATCTCCTGGTACCTATTAAAATCTGTTTCATTAAAGCATGATGGTTCATCAGATAATAGGTTTTAAAATACTTCTAAAGTTATAATTAATAGGATGATGATCCTTGGTGACTGAAAGGTCACGGGTTGGAATTCAGAAAATATCCTCTTTGCAAATATACAAGAGCAATTAAGTTGCATACAAAGATTGTCATCATCCCTACCCTCGTTAGTCAGAGTTTAATAGGGAGTATTTTTTATATAATTGCTAGTAAATCACTGTATAATTTCTGGATTTTTTCTGGACTTGGTGTTTAATTTTTGTGCTGTATTGGTCTTTGATACATTCAGGGAAATAACAGGTCCAAAATCCTTTCAAAGTCTACGCTTGGAGGCTTAGGACAATTGAAAACTAAGGAGTTAATTAGTGTGTTAGCACATTAGTGTATTAATTAAGCAGTTATGTGTTAATAAGACAGGTAGTGTCCTTTATGACAGTTACTAGCAGTTATTGCTATGTAATGAGAGGATCTCTCCTCAGTTAGGAAAAGTTAGTCAGTTTTTAGATTTGGATGTTAAGGGTTGGAAGTAACTCTTTAGGATGGAGAATGCTCCTTGATGGGGGAATACCTCTTGTATTGTTGAACTTACAAAAATAAATCTGTGTTCCGCTACTTCTGAAATGGAACTTATGTGACTTATGTTGGCAGGTTAATCATGCCCTTTTGGAAGAAATAAGGGAAATTAATAACCAACTTATTGACGTAGTAGTAGACATAAGTGACGAAGATGTTGATCCAACTGTAGCTGCTATTGCTGCTGCTGAAGGGGCAGAAGGGACAATTGTCAAATTTTCTTTCATTGCTGTGGCTCTCAGTCCAAGCTTAAAATCTCAATATGCTTCAGTGCATATGGTGGGCTTCCAGATCCTACAATTACAACAATTTTAAAGCCCTTTTTTCATTATTTTAAGCCTCTTATTTATTTATATATTTATTATTTATCTTACTCTCTAATTTATTTATCTTATCTATTTTTCTCTTTTTTTTATTCTTATTCTATTACTATTATTAACCTCCTTTTCTTCATTTCCCCTAATCTTTTCTTGGTTCATCAACCGTCAACCCCAATTAGTTTAAGATTTAGGTATTGTTGATGTCAGTGTTGTTGATTTTGTTGGCCTCATTTGCGTTTTATTACTGTGCAGTCACCTATTCTGCCCCTGCGTTTGCTGGTTCCTGCAAATTACCCTAATTGTTCTCCCATACTCCTAGACAAGCTTCCAGTTGAACCCAGGTGAGATAATGAGCATATGGGCATCTCTTACTTTTGTTATAATTGTTTTAAACAAAAATTATGTATTTTCCTCTAACCATCAATGGTCATGGCACATAGGCGCTTTCCTTACTTTTATCAACAGAAAGGGGAAATATTCTAATAGAAACCCGAATTCCCTAATCACTAGAGTGTGGTGTAGGAAAGGGAAACGGGGAGCATTGCCAATTATGGCAAGAGGAGTGTGACTCCACCTTTGGCGATAGATGAGGGATAAAACAGTAAGGGTAGGGGAAGAGAGAGGTAGGGAAGAATTTGGATAGGGAGTTTGTAAGCTGAGACTGGCCTCTCGAATGCCAGCTATCAGTTCTCTATTCAGCTGTTAAGTCACTTACTCACTCTTGCGCATTAATATTTATTAAGCTAGGGTTTTCTGCATATGTAAACATACGGAAATTATGCATGGAATCCAGAAATTTTATGGTTTAGACGTCTGTTGAGATTATTTGCTGGTTCCTTTCCAAATATTTAAGCCTGTAGTTTTGAATGTCATCAATTCAATTTTGTTTGATGATGGTTTCCTCATCCCTTAATTTATTCTGATTTTATTGATTAAAATTCTGAAGTTGGTCAATATAATCATGAGGACAATAAAAACATAAGGACTAAGCCAATTTATCTTTTATTTCTGGTTTGATATGTATGGGAAAGAAGAATTGCTTAATTTAGAAAAGAACTCTCAAATATCATCCTCTACTGCTGAAAACTTAGATTTTGCTCTTTAAAGAGCATGTGATTTTAAAGTAGATGGCAAGACAAGTTTTGCCATAAGTCAATGTATAGCTGATGGAGGGACCTGATGACACATCCATATTCTAACGTGCTAGTGAGACTTGGTATTTTTAATCTTAATTGTTCTCTGAAAAGTTTGTTTTTTCCCTTCCAAATAGAGATGATCTACTTAATGCACGTCTGACTTTTCACCCTCTCCATAGTTTCTTTTTTTTCTTTTTCTTTTTTTAGTACAACTCCATAGTTTATTTTATCTGTGCTGAGAAATCTATGGTTTCTAATGCAAAGTGGTATTGCATCTGTCATTTTATTCTGACAGTAAGGAGAACGAAGATCTTTCAGTGAAGGCAATGTCAAGGTTTAGCATTTCCCTGCGTAGTTTGTCACAACCTATGTCCCTTGGGGAAATAGCAAGGGCTTGGGATGTTTGTGCTCGCAGAGTTATTTCTGAGCATGCACAGCTAAGTGGTGGAGGAAGCTTCAGCTCTAAGTACGGAACTTGGGAGAATTCCTTGACCTCTGCATAATGATCCTTGCCATTCCATGCAGATCTTTTTGTTTTGGCCTAAAAGTTGTCAAACTTCCTGTTAATAATTAAAACTTCCTGTTAATAATCAAGTTATTGGATGTAGATAAAAGCCTACTTGTGAAGTAATACCATGAAGTCATTTCAATTTATATACTCCGTTGCTTTTTTTTGCATTCGTCAAGTTAACATGGTTAGCCCGTTTTAGTGGAATTATATAATGCATAATCTCGTATTAAGTAGAAAATTCATGTTTCTATTTGTGTACTTCTAAATTGCCATGTGTGCTGTTGCCGAAGGCCATCTTCATAATCTAATTAAAGGTAGTCTAAGGGGGTGGGGGTGTTTGGTAGGTGGATTTTTTTGAGAATGCTAGAAAAGTGGTAGATGAAATTCACAAATGATCATGTTTGGTATGGAGTAGGAAAAATTTGATTAGGAAAAAAAATTTGATGGGAGAATTTGTAGTGTAAAAATGTAGGAAAATACCCACTTGGGAATACTATTTTGATGGTGATATTTTGATTTTTCCAGCAAATTCAAATTTGTAGCAATTTTATACAAAAAAATTTCTGGTAATATTTTGGATTATCAAACAATTTGTTTTTTAACTTTTTCGGAAAAATCATTTTTCAACCTTTTTCACCATTTTCTCATTAATTATATTTTCTTAGTAAAAAAAAAAATTTCTTCTACCAAATGCCCCTGAAAGAAATGCAAAGGATATCATTTTTTTCCTTTTTATATCTCTGAATAAATAAGGAAGCTTAATGCGTTGCTTTACTGATGATATTCTTGTACTGAATGAATTTCTCTTTTAATTCTTGTGTTCGCTAGTTGCTTTTTGTCTTTACTAGTCACGCAAATAAAATCCTTTATGAATAAATAATTAAATATTATCAAGTTTCGTTAGGCTTAATTAAGTAGCTGGTTGAGTGGAGATGAGCGAAAAGTTGGCGCATGGGAGCTAAGCAGGTGGGGGTGAGAATATGTGTTCGAATCTCCCTAGTACCATTTTTGGGAGGGATTTAAAACTTTAATCTTAGACCTGCCTCGAATCGAGTTAGTTGCGAAGCAATGAACCGATTGGAATATTTCCAAAAAAAAAAAAATCCGAAGTAATAATAGTACAATGATTTACTATTAAAAAGTGTCAATAGGCTAACCTATTTTTACCAAATAACAGATGGCACGCGACATGGCAATTGGCAAGCGGAGAGAATTCAGCGCAGCACATTAAGTCAAAAATAATAGGTGGAAAATAATAGAGAAGCTGAAGGGAACAAGAACTAGAAATAGCTCTTCAAAGTATTAAATGTAAATACTTTTAGGAATCGATCCTTAAACCAATTTCACGTTACTTCGTGATATGATATTTTTATGTATATTTTTTTCTTTATTAATGATAATTGGACATCGTTTATTTAATGCATATAAAAAGAGAAAGATAGATACAAAAATTTAATATAATTATGTCATATGAAATTTTAACACGAGAAAATTCACTCCCTAAAAATATAGAGCGAGATGAGAGACAGAGAGATTGGGGAATGAAGATTAAGGAGAATACTTAAATTATTTCTTTTTTGTATGTACTAATAATTTATAGAATTATAACTTCAACAAAAATAAGAAAATTTTAATTTAAATTAAAAAATAATATCACTCATAAGATAACTATTAATAATATAATTTAAACAACTAAATAAAAATAAATTAATCTAATAACAAATAACCAGGATAAAGAAATAATACTAAATCTTGAAGCCACACTATATGAAAAATAATTTTTAATTGTCAATTACATAAATGATAGTAGATAATAGATTTAGTCTAACTATTTTTTTTCTTTTAGTAAATCTTGGTCTAACTATTTTATAAACCCTGAAATGTCTGATTTTCCTTTTTATCCGAAAATTGTTGAGTCTAATTTCAAATTAATTTTCCCTAATCATATCTATATATATTATCAAGTCATATTCCAGCAACTCTTAGGCTTTGTAAATTTCAGTTTCATAAATTTTTGCGGATACTCTTATTTCCTTAAGTACGCATTAATTGTTATTGTTTAGCCCATGATACTGTCTAATAAAAATAAAAAAAACTTTACATGGAAGTGGATGCTAGACTCATAATTACACGAACAAAAATGGGGTCCTCACTGTTCAATCCACAGTGTTCCTAAACAATAAGAGCTTGGCTATGTGCTACTCAAGTGTCACCACCATCTCACAAGTCAGAATCTACAATCACCACTTTGAGTAAATAAATGGACATCATCTTGTGTCGCATGTTTAGGGAGTGGGGCAGTTCCATCTTTTCCCTTCTTCAGCATGTTGCAGTGTTCATACAATAACATGTTGGTCAAGGCTCTTATAGTTAAAAAGATGTAGTAAAATATTTATTTGCTGATTGTGAGAAAAGCAGGTTCACTCAACTCAATAATTAAAAGACATAAATCCCAAGGTTTTATATCAACTATAAAATATAAAATATACTTTTGTTAATGTGTATATATATTCTCAACTACAAGACAGTACAAACAATGCATAAAACTCAAGTCAAGCAGAGACCCAATTGCTAACATAACAGAACTAAAAATCTACCTCAATCATTCTCTCCCCATAAAATACGCTAATCTGATTGCAAACTTTTCCCCTATCAAAGCTAAAAGACATCAACATACAAAAGCAAAGTAGACAATCTCATTACTGAAACAGACAGGTGCTAAAGTTAAGTACCTATCTGCATGACCCCACACCACTAAAAAGAAAAGACCAACAAAAGTCTGAGAAAACACATTCAAATCTCTCTGGTGGAAGAACCAAAAAAATCCCATCTCTCACCAATTAACTTAAAACCAGGGATAGATAGAATTAACCCCTAGAGATAAAGTTAAGATTAAAAAAAAAAAAAAAAAAAAAGGAAAAGTTTTAGTTTGGCTTTAGATCCTGAAACATGGTATCCCACCTGATATCTTCAACAGCAGATGACCAGTAGCCATCATCATCTTCTTCCATCTTTTCCTCCTTCTGAAAATGATACACCATAGGACTAGAAAAACCATCAAGACAAGGCACTATTGTAGGACTTCCATTTGTGAGCAAGAGCCTCTCTTGCTTAGCCACCATCAACTTTTTGTTCCTCTTCATCACAGCACTCTTCCATCTTGTCCCATAACCACTACCAGGCCTTGTTGGAACCACAACAAGTGCTGTTGATTCTTCACAACGAGTCAATGTTCGAATGTAATTAGATAAGCACCTCTTTGTCCTCTTAATAGCCATCACGAGCCTTGCCACTGGACGTGGCCTCTTTCCCTTCTCTTTCCTTGCAAGCTTGAGAATTTCTAGCCTGTGCTTTGCTATGGAGATTCCCATGCTCTGGAGAAACTCATGGTTGAAGTAAATCATGTCTTCTTCTTCAAGCTCATTGTGAGCAAAAGCAAGGCCATACTCATACACTAGGGATGGTTCTAGGCCTGTTTTTGAAAGCCAGGAGAACCAATCCATGGTTTTTGATCACTTGAAGGAATGTGTATGTGACTCTATGTTATGTTATGACCTTCAACTTCAAGAGGGTTGTATATATATATATAAAAAAATGGGGTGAATGGTAAAGTGAAACTGAAAAGAAATGGTTAAGTCTGAGGAGTGACTTGGACTTTATGGGGTTGATATATGCTTTTGTAAAATTGGTTATATATTAGTTGAATCTTGAGAGTGACTAAAGAAAAAGTAAGTAGAGGGTGTGTGTGTGTGTGTGTGTGTGGGGTAGGTAACCCATGTTCATGTTCCCTCCAAAAATTGTCCAAGTGTGATCAAACTTTGAGGAGTAAGACTAAGACCAAAGAATTTCTTGTGTGGAAAATGGAAATATAATCCCTTCAATCACGGGTATGGGGAAAGTATGACCCTTGTGGTTGTGGGGCCATCCAATACTTGTTTGGTGAAAGTAGTTGACAGTAAAGTAACATATATGCAACAGTTAAGACTTGGTATATGGCAACCCATTCAGTACTTCTATTCTTTGGCTATCAAATGAATTACATATGATTTATCTCCCATAACTTCTAAAACTTGTCCCAAGGACTATGACCATCCTGTTCTGCTGCTATACTTTCTTGTTGCACTTTCCTAGTAAGTTAAAGAAGAAGAAAAAAATTATTTTTATACATTAAGAGGAAGCACTAACTATAGTTGAGCACAATATAATGCCTGATTAGTTTGCACGTTTGAACTCTTGCAACCATCAAAGGTCTAAATTTGCACTAATGATGATATTTTTCTCATGAGCAATATCATAATGCCATATATGATAAGAAAAGCTCTAACGAGTAACGACAGAGATGCATTATTAAGCACCATGACACAAAGCCAGTTACAAGATTTTGTCCTCATTTATAACAAAATGAACCTAAAGTTATTACTACTGAAAACATCTTTCTGTTTCTATATATAGGGATTCCTGATTAGGGATAACGGCATTCTTCATTATTTTCTTTCTTTAGTCAAGAATGATGAATTCTGATTCTTTAACTTCTTAAAAAACTGTTATGAGTTTCCATTATAAGTAATGAACCTATATATGCATAACCTCAGAAAATGACAATGTTTTAGCTTATTACTTTCAGACATCAGTGTCAGTTGCCATGTGAGGTTCTTTTTTTTTTTTTTTTTTAATAATAATTAATTCAATAACTTTCAAAAGTTAATGCTGCTTTCTCAAAAAAATATAAAAGTGAAGCTGAAAATAAGAACAAAATGTAATACATAACTTGTTTAGGCTGGTTACATGACAAGTCACTTTTTAGCTGAATCAGAAGAGCTTGTCGCGACTCTTAATAAATGGCTCAAACACTATCCATTGTCTCCTAAGGCACTAAAATACAGTTTTATTGGTGTCCCAATTTTCCTTTACCTTCACATGCTCTTATCAATTCGAATTTGAATCTATACAAGTTCACGGACACAAATTGAAATATCAGATTACTATTCCCATGTGAATTAGCATTTAGAATGATGATATGCTCACACATTTAATTTTCTATATGTACACTCTTTCTTAGGCTATTTGACCATTTTACCCCTCATTAATTAATTAATAATCATTTTGCCCCTGATTTGAAACTATCTACCAATCTGCCCCTCTTTAATCGACTACCTTGCATTTTTAATCGACTAAATCTCCTTACTTAATCGATTAAAAAATCATACTGACTTGTTTTCCTTTGTTGTCTGTTGGGAGATTTAGTCGACTAAATAGGGAGATTTAGTCGACTAAATAGGGAGATTTAGTCGATTAAATCTCCCAACAGCCATTTTTGCCTGTTTTGACCATTTAGTCGATAAAAAATGCAAGGTAGTCGATTAAAGAGGGACATATTAGTAAATAGTTTCGAAATAGGGACAAAATAGTTATTAATTAATTAATAAGGGACAAAAGGGTAAAAAAGCCCTCTTTCTTATGAGTCACTTATTTTTTTACGCTCATTTTACTTCCACCTCTGACGCTAGGTTTGAGACAATTACTATGCTCAAACCTAATTAAGTAGGTCTACTTTTTGTTGAATCATGTCAATTTTTATTAAAGCTGGATTTGAAGTTTTTGATGCAAACAAGAGTGAAAAAAGTGCATGAATTAATTGTAACCCGCTTAAATTAATCAAGGTTTAGATCTCACAAAACTCCATATTAGTCACGTGGCACTTGCTGTTCATGAAAGCAATCGAATTTGTTTTTTTTTTTGGCTTTTTATCTATATGGTTCTAAGGACCAACCAATACAATGTTTGTGTATCAACCTAAGGCAAAGATAATCTTAGCACAAATTCGAATTTCATGTAAAATCATGTATGACGGGGATATGTTGACACACAAAATTAGATAGAACCCATTAAAAAGAAGAAAAAAATAAATTTCACCTAATTTTTTGTGTGTTGTATGAGATATATTTTCGAATAATAATAAACTAGACAGAACTTTGATCACGTTATCATTTGAGCACCATGCAATTTGTGTAAGCAAATAAATATGTGGTTCCTCTGCATTGAGCCAAACAAACAATGCATAATTATTATAAAAAAAAAAAATGAACGAGTGTTAATTGATGAGCATTAAGTATCTAGTTATGTCTTTAAGTTATTTTAAAGATAAATTAATAATTAGTTAATTGCATTTGGTTGGTGAAAGTGCGTTCGATTGTGGACATCATAATTGAGTTTATGGGTATCAACAAGCGTTAAGCATCAGCTTTGCAAAACCGATCCACCTTTTAACACGAAACCAACCAAAGATGGTTAAGAAATAATTATTTGGTACTTCACATCATAAATGCGCATGTAAATTCCAATGGAAAGGGGACTAGAAAATGCTGCATAGAATAGAAGGAACTCGTATTAGAAACTCTATACAATAAGTCATTAAAATTAGTTCGATAATAAATCATTTCGATAGATTATATTAGGTTATATATTCAATTTTTATTTATATAAAATAAAATAAAATAAAAAACTATAGAACGTACAGTAGATACTTTGCGTGCAGGCCATATAAAAATATGACTATAAAAAATGGGCCACGTGATGTGTGAGAACTCAACTTTAAAGTAATTGTCTTAAGTTACTGTTCCATAACATCAATGGGCTAACCCATGTTACTTCATTTATATCTTCTTCTTTTTAAATCACTTTTTTTTTTTTTTAAATCAACTTCGTTTATTTCTTCCCAGCTAGAAGTGGTTGACAATAGCTTATTGGTTTTGTCAAATAATAACAATTCTAAAATCGATGCAAAATTAATGACATCGATAAGGGGGGAAAAAAGTTATAAAGTTAAATGCTTTTTGTGCGCAGATAAAGCCAACCTAACTTCAAATTTCAACTATTTGTATTTTAAATTCATTAATATATCATACCATTAGCTATAAAACATCCCTTTCCTTTATAATATAAAAGTAAATTTCTTCTGGAAAGAATCAAATTTATATCATACAATTATATTGATATTTTTAAATTCTCTTAAAGATCAAATTTATATTTCAAAAAACTTTCCAAATCTGAAGAGTTTCCAATATACACCGTACAATTAGTTTGAGTCAAGAAAGCAGGATAGCACATGATGATAAATACTCTCTGCTCAGCTTGAAAAAAAAACATTAATTTATAGGGATAGAATCCATTTACAAAATTTTTTTACAAATTACACTAAGTATGACCGGTCGTACACTGCATGATTAAAGTATGACCGGTCGTACTTAGTGTAGTTTGTAAACAAAAAAGTTTGTAAATATAACTTGCCTCTAATTTATATACCAAAAAATAATAATAATAACATTGATTGTTATTATCATCACCGAACAAGTATCTACACGTTTAGTTGATTGTTATTATTGATTGGCCAATCTTTCACTCTAATTATTCCAAAGTCTAACCATAAAAAGATTAGAATGCGTTTGGTTTACTTCATGTGACGGTTGTTAGTTGGGGCCTGTTGAGGTATCGGTCAATATCAAATAGCATAGGATACTTATCTTATGATGGTTGTGGCTGTGCTAATGGTTTTGAAAATTTTAGAATTGCTTGATACCTTAAGGAAAAACAATATATATAAGACAACATAAGTAGGCATATATATGAGATTAGATGCTTTGCTTATGCTACAAATGGGAGTTTCGAGTTTGGATCATGCATTGGACTTAGATATAATATGAGTCTTTAAATAAATACTACACATTACTCTCAGAATATAATTATTTCAGCTTTTTTCTGAATGTTGTTGATACTGACGCTATTGGACTGTATAACACAGATCCCTATAGAGAAAACAAGGAAACAGCCATAACTCATAATGCAACAAAAGAAACGGATATCCATCTCTTCTCAAATTACCTGCTTGAATCTCATCCATTCAATTTATTTTATTATATGAAAGAAACAGTATAAATTAAGTGTTTTAAGTCAGTGATATCAGCAGAGATCAAATTTATATATGCTCAAAAATTAGTGTTAATGTTAAGCACATTGTTCTTGCTATTTTGTTTATTTTAAGTGTGCTAGCTTCAAGTGCAATTGAGTTATGAGTACCCTTTGATTAATTCATATTAATATCTTCATTACAAATTATTCATATTCATGTGAAATTCTTGGGTGGGTCTATTAATTTTTCATTTTTAGTTCATTGAAAATAAATTTTCCAAAATATTTTTGGGCTCCCTTGCCCCCATAACTTTGAATAAAACTAAAATCCAAGACCATTCCAAGAACTTTCAAGATTGCAGGGAGGGCCATAATCCCTGTCCCTATAGTCTTCATGATCTGATTAAACATAACACCTTGTATCCGAACCTTTACTAGGCCCAACAACAAGAAACGGATACTTATCAATGTGAATTTCAAAATCATAGTCAGTCACCTGGGATTTTAATTAGGTGTAATTACACTTTTAATCCATCTATTATGTGATAAGGAGATTCTAAGATAATCCAGTTCTTGTTATTAGATAACTGCAAATCAGTTACTATCTTCAAATTTG